TTAATATTAACATTTTTATGTTATTATATCATTATTATTATTATTATTTTTATTATTATTATTATTATTATTATTATTATTATCATTATCATATTATTATTATCATTATTATTATCATCATTATTTTATGGAAACACCTGTGGATCAAAAAATTGTAATTAGAAAATGAAATTATAGAACAAGTTTCACACTTCAATATCTCGGTTGTGATTTATTTACAACGAAATAAATATGTAGAAAATGAGATTCAAAAATTTCAATATATTTGCGGCCCAATAACTAGTACATTAGGCCAAAAAACTAGAGAAGATACAAAAATAAAACTTTATAAGATGATGGTCATGCCAATGCTTCTACATGGAAGTGAAAGTTAGGTAGCAACTAAAAACTATGATAGCAGAATAGAGGTTGCAGAAATGAGGTTTTTAAGAAGGGTGAAAGGATTACATTAGACAGGAATTGAAAATAGAAGCTATAAATGGGAAAATAGAGAAATACGGAGAGAGATGGAAAGAACACATAGGAAGAATGGAAAAAACAAGAATACCCAAAAAAAGTTTATAACTATCATCCTTGTGGTACAAGAAATATAGGCAGACCGAAGAAAAGATGGAAATGAATGCTTTGTGAAAACGGAACAGGTCATGAGCCTAATCCGTGTAGTGAAGAAGAAAAAAAAGATTATTATTATCATTTTTTTTGTAATGATTCTCCTCAGTCGTGGTTGGTCCCGTTCTTTTTGCGGACGCAGCGATGCCGGTGGTTTGATGTTTTATCGGATTCCCGGTATGCACGGTACACTCGTGAAATGGTTGAACGGGAAAATCCTAATTTCATCGCTGTCCTCGTATATGCCATGCCCCATCTCCTTTGCGCGGACTATAATCTCATCTCAAACTCGCTTAAATCGCGATAACCTGCCATTGTAGCAGCAGTAACCGATCTAACACCTGTGCCAGACATTGGTTGTCTTAAATAGTCGTTGCTGACCGGAGCGCCGTGTTTTTTGGCTCTACAGTGTGAATCCGCTTTGGCTAGGAGCCCAACGCTTTTAGATTATTTAGAAGAGTACTTGAACGGACGAAAGTCATAATTACGACTCGGCCAGATCTTAATGCAATGATCTGCGGTCTTCGCTAAATTAACATCCAGCATTTAGGAATTCCAAAATTTCTCTCGTTTTGAATGTTATAGTCTGTTGAGAGTGTAAAATTTGCAAAGTAAGGCATTTTCGGTAAAAAGGATACGGATGAATTTGACTGATCCATATTTGAAACAACGGGAATAAATTGAGATATATTTTTGCAAGAACCTGTTTGATCGGAATCAGCTCTGTTCAAAAAGTCAATAGCATCAGGGGAGTACGTATATTTCGTGTTGATTGATTGTTGTAAATAGCTGTAAGATAATTCATCATTTAGTGATGATCCATTACAATACATCATTTAATGCTTCATTTAACCCATAAAAGGTATCGCCTAAACTAACAGTAGTTACTTTTAAAATCATCCTTTAATGGTCATTCGTAGTTACGATCTTAAGTCACCCTTAAAACGTGAACTAGTCATTAGGAAATTCATGGAACCCGGACATAGTTCCCAAGAAGTTCCATCCGTATATAAAAGGGCACAATCAAACATTCGAGCAATGATAGTATGAAAACGAGCACTTATAGATGGTTGTAAACTGTTTTGTATTTGAATATTTTCTACAAAGTGAACTTAGAGTTTTTAACGCAGATCATGAACTGAAACGATTAATTTTTGCAGAGGTTGCACGCTCCATTGCTTCGTTGGTCACTGGCAAGAAAGACAGTAGTGCTTCGTCCTCGATAAAGTCGCGTAAAAATAGGTCTAAGACAAGGTAAGTCCTACAGATACACTTCCTTATTTTTTTATAAGATTCACAGTGGTGAATTTCATATTAATGAAAATATTACTTCACACGTTTGAATGCGACCCGAGCGAAATATGTTTGTGAAAATACTACTTGGCTTTTCTTCTCGCGTGATATTGGGAATCCTCTCATTTCATCACTACCCGTCATCTCTACCCTCAACTGCAGCATTCGGGTACATTATAGTCGAATGCTGCGGTTGTAACTAACGACTGTCGTTGGAACGTGGGTCGTGGCCAAATCATGTTCCGGTAACGCCATAAGTCTTTGATTACTTGTAGTTATTTTGTTTATTTCTTCTTTATCCTTTACACATACCAATGAATTAGCAAACATATTTCCCAACTTCGGAACTAATAGGTAGGATGTTAAGATTTATTTATGGAAATGTGGAAGCGAGGAAGAGAGCGTTATTACAACCTCTTGGGGATCGCAAACGTTTGTGTTTGAAGTATGCGAATCGAAGGTCTTACCAAATTATGATGGTAGTTGAACGCTGTCAAAAGTGATTTTTGACACACTAGTGGTATTTAGAAAGTCATTCTTACAAAGTTCAAAAGTTGAAATTTTTAGGAATTGTAGGGTGAAAATGCAAAACACGTTTTATTTTTTAAAAAAGGGAAAAATGGGGTGTTTTCTAAAAACTTGTAAATCTTAGTTTTTCTTGGTCACAAACGTGTACTTCTCATAGTTGATTCAGAACATTTCGGGGAATTGTTATTCTTTCGTATGCGTACTACATTGCTTTTGAAAATATTAGTACCATTGGCGTAAATTGGAATGCAATAGGGACATTTTTAAAACAATACTTCCTGAAACAGTCACCAAATTGATTTATACGGATATTGCTAATTAAACTGCATAAATGACATATACAATTTTTGATGTATTCTTTCGATTTTGAAAAAAAAATACAAATGTATATTCTTACTTTCTTTTATACGACCGAATAAACGGTGTAATTTAGTTAGAACAAAAAACAAGAAATAATTTCTTAGCGTAATACACACTGTAAGTGAAATACCAACATTTATTAACGTTGATCTGTCTTTTCTAGGCTCAAGGTGTCATCAAGTTTGCACACTTTATCGTTATCCGTGTCGACGTGCTCTTTGTCATCCCCAGCGGATGACCTGACGCTGAAGACAGACTCAGCGTCTTCGCGCGACACGGAGAAGTCGACTTGCGCAGGGCAGAAGACTCCAAAGAGCGTCCGACTGAACGACAGACCCATAGACGAGGAGCCGCCCCCGCCAGTGCGGGAGGTCCTCTTGCCCAAGGACGTGAGGCCTCGCTCTCTCACCCCGACCGGAGAGCTGGAGAGAGCGAGTCAAAAGTAAAGGTCATTTTGTACATCTATGTAATTTTATTTTAACTGGAAGAATAAGAGCTCCAATATGAAATATAGACAGACTTACGTAAAATTCTTTACTTTATTTCGTGAGCCACGTCATATTCTACTCGAGTGCTTTTAACATAGAGAACAAAAATGATGTGGTTCAAGAAATAAAATAATTTTACATATGTCTGTTTTTAATTCATCTTGGAATACCCTTCCTTCATGTTAAAATACAATCCAAGACTGACTTATTTCCATTTTACAAGATTATGTAATTTTAATGTCAAAAAATGTTTAACTGTGTATGAGGTATGGAAGAAAATGCTATTTAGACAAGTCAAATTAGACAAAATTAGTGAAAAAACGGAGTTTTGAAACTTGGCATAAATGTTTGTTGGTACGTACAGCTATCGCACCTTACACTATAAATCCTGAAGTGTGGAGAGCTGAAGATAGGGTGTCGTTACGAGGGCCCTGTAATAAGAGTTTCTCTGTCGGAAATTCGTCCTTTTTTGCGAAGCATTACATAACGTTCCATCTACTCCGTAGCGAGAAAGTAAGACCGAAATCTACTGAAAGTAGTGTCAAAACTACTTATTAGTAAATGCAAATAATAACACAGAACTACAAGGAAAAAACTGCTTAGGATTTTTATACATTTTCTTATAGTTCTGAACTTAAAAAACGTAAAAACGAAAAAAAGTCAAAAAAAACCCTCACATTCATTCATTTTTTGCTACACTTCATATTTTTCTTTGTATTTAGCGAAAATTCGTAATTAACTTAAAAATATAGTACTCGTTTTTGTTATAAAAATGCTTTAAAAATAAACTTTCTCATATGAGTTTGAATCAAATTATGCTGCGACTCGCAAACAAATGAAACAAATGTTAATCGTCGAAGAGAGTAGTGGACTGGTGTGGATAAGTAATTTTTAGCATTAATAGAAAGGTTGTATGATCATGTCGTAACAAGTTTAAAAAGTTGTCAGTATAACGGGCATTTTTTGGCTGATCTCGAGTACTAAGAATCTGTTGTTGGATTATTCCATGTTTCAACAAGCAAATTAAGTTCAATCTCCTATCACTCTTTATATTCAGCATTCAAAGGATACTGTGATTGTTATTTTATTTCTGAAATATGGCTTGCAGAGGTTGTGTAATTTCTCCTGAAAGTTTCTGTTATATATATGGTAAATACATAGTAAAAAGTTAACAAAGAATCGTAAGTAAATTTGTGTAGAAAGTTTATTTTGCTTATTTCAAATTGAAACTTGGAGATCAAGACTAAACATGGGCTCTACGTAAGGTGTGTAAAGATCTTCGTTTGTGGTTTAAGGGTAAGAAAAACTCATTTCGTTTTGGCGTTTCTACGATATGGTGTAAATAGAAAACTAATACAACCGACAGCCATTTGCGTTCGGTAAATATGAAAGAATTTTTATACAAGAATTTAATAAATGAAAATTTCATACTCTATCTTTGACTCAGCTATTTCTCCAGTGAACCATACCAGTGAAAATACCAATTCCACTGATACATTCTAATAAAGATGACACCCTTGGTAAATCAGACGACTCAGACGCTTCCCAGAACGAATCTAGTTTAATTTTTTTTTTTGATAAGGGACCCTAACTTTTTTCTCAGAGTAACCTCAACGTTCTAGTAAGAGACTTAGGTCTTTCAAAAGATGCAGGGATCAAGGCTAAAAAAGAAAAACCTGCTACCATCTGGAACATATTCGTGGTACAGGCATCGAGAACTCCGTTTTCTGCAAAGAGGGAAATCTGTTTTATTGAAATGATGTTCATGGGCTCATGATGTGCAAAGAAATAGAACATGTTTCATCAGAATTGCGCATATCCATTGATCTAAAACTAGCCGCAAAGACATCTTGCTGTATTATGAAAGTGTATTTGCATTTGTTCAATGAAACTGCACTCAGCTCATAAGAAAGGAAACTGTGATGGATTGGATACGATTCTTGAGAAAATAAAATAAGTATCAAGAGTATCAATTGGTAGCTTGTGGAGATTTAAAATACTTACCAAATTTTTGGTCAGTTGTGATCAGTTGGGTTAGTGTTGAGTTGTTGGGCTATACAAAATACCCTTGCTTTCATTGTTTATGGGATATTAGAACCAAACAGGTGCCCTGATCAAACACTGATTGACCTCCTCGAGACAGTTTAACACCCCGGAGAGAAAAACGTCATCAATACTACCTTGGATCCCCTAGAACAAGTACTATTGCCACATCCTCATATATTGAGTCTTATAAAGCAGTTTGTCAAATCACTGCCAATGAGTTCCCGAAACTGTTAAAAGCTGAGTTAAAAGAGGGAGTTTTTATTTGCACCAACGTAAGAAAACTTCTGATTCCCTATATACAAAAACAATGGGAGACGAGATAAAAGAAGGGTGAGACTCTTTCAAGAATGTAGTGCGCACGTTTCGGGGGAATACTAAGGATTGCACAACGCATGTTGGCAACATATGAAACTCAATGATGCAAGATTTTGAGAAACATTTCCAATAAAAATGGGATGTCAATAAGTTAATTGTCAACTGTTGGATACTCAATTGAGATACTAAAGAAGGAAACCGGAAAAAAGTTTGAAGAAGCATCAAAGAAAAAAGTAGACCTATAATTGTATAATAAAATCGGAAACAATTTTTTGATTACTTATATGAAAATAAATATATTTAGTTAAATGTACAATATGAGTGTTATTAAATATTTAATATTATTATATTGGAATATTTTGGAAATCATTTTAGAAACTGTGACGTCTATAACATAAAATTCAGTGCCAATATCCCATGCAGCTGAAAGTTTTTAGCAGACCTGTGTAAATAATTTGCCAAAAAAAATAACAAGACATTTACAAATAATTAAAAAAAAAATTAAGGGCCCATTATTACGTTTGTTGCGTTTTGGGGAACAGAAATATAAAACACAATTCAATAAGGTGCAACTGAATATGGTTAAAAACGCTCACCTCCGAATCCAAAGCTTGAAGTTCATAGTTTGAAAATGTCTGAATCGTTTCTAAAGTGGCAGAACAACATACAGGAGGAGTAGTTCTCTCCTGAAGACAGAGTTACGTTGTGCGAAAAGAACGTTCCAGATGTTTGTGCGAGGGGTATTTCCGAGGCAGTATGTTGTAGTTGAGGTCTCCTCCAAATTCTAAAGTGTACACATTTTAGTGTTGAGTCTATAACAGTAAAGCAAGTTACAAATATATCCTTTTGTCTCCTGACAGTATGCATTTTCGCCGAGAGTTGCACCCAGCTCGGTCGCCGTCCCCACATGCCTATCGCTCCGTGTCCACGCAGGTAGGAATGCGACATCGATGTCGAAGTTTTTCAAACATCGATGTTTCTATAATAGCATCAATGTTTTTAACATTTATTTATTCATGTGGATGCTTTTTTCATAATCAAGTTGTCTTCTGCATGTTTATTTTCGTTTCGTTTAAAAAATGATTCTTATTCCTTATCGCAAAGAGAGAGAATCGTTTAACTTCCGCGAGAATATAGCAAACCACAAAATATAAGGCAGTGTGACGCTTAGTTAAGCGTGTGCAGTTTCACGACGGAATTCCGGAGTTCGGTCTAAATGATTAACATAAAATATCCTTGAGCCTGATCAACATACAATTTCCAATGCATTTTATGCCAAATTGATTTTTTGTCGAACGGTTTAATTTGGTATTTAATATTATGCCACGCATGTCGAAATTGGATTGGAGGCTGTGATCAACGTCGTTTGTTATAATTGTAAAACGTCGTTGAGAGTTTAACATATTTTAGCCCAAATACATTTTAAATGAATTAAAGCGCTCCATTCTGATTTTAAATTAGAAACAGAATGCCTTGTTTCCACCACTCTTTCTTGCTTTCGTGCACGTCATAATCGACTCTTTACGATAAGGAAAATTAAACTAAAAATACGACATTCTTGTTTAAAAATAATTATTTACACTAATTGTTTATAATAATTTTTTATAATAAACTGTAAACATATTTGTTTAAAAGTAAATGGAACATTCTTACAGATCAAAGTGACCCAAGATAAGTGTTTGTTGAGTTTTTATCAATATAAAAGCTATTGGTTTCCTAACATTTAATCGGAAATAAAAGTTAAGTTATTTGTTTTTATTATGTTGTACTAGTTTGTCAGTTAATGCTTTACGAAAAATTATGAGTAACAAAGAGGACCACTGTCAAATTAACCTCTCCCCTCTAAAACGTTATGTCAGAGGTTCCCAAACCAACTTTAAAAACATCTGTGTTTAAAAACATCAGAGTGTAAAACGTGGCACTGTTTAACAAGTCAAGATTTTAATTTTGAACCAACGCACACACAGGACGTACATCGCGCCTTCCCCACCTACACGGAGTGCCCGCTGTGCAAGCTGACGAACCAGTGCTACCACCTGCCGCGCGTCAACCCACTCTTCCCAATGTTCCCCGGGCGGCGCTCCATGGCGGCTGGCACGGGCACGCGAGTGGAGCTGTACGCCCACCTCGAGGGCTCCGTGCGCTACGAGACCGTCTGGGAGCTCATGAAGTAGGCAGCACTCGAAGCAAGGCAGGAAGGAGTTGGGTACATGCTTTCCCGCTTTCTCTTGGAACTACTTCGTAGGTCCTTTGATTCCTTGAGAGCTGCACACCCACCTTAATGGATCGTACGCCACGAGACAGTTTGGGAGCGGTTGTTGGGTACATACCCAGGCTGCTTTGAAACGCATGCAGGCCAGGCAAGAGAGACGATGCATGGAGTGTGGAAAAGTCCAAAATTCCACAACGCATAGGTAGTCAGCAATGCACTGCAGCCGTTGTGGCTGAAATTGCCACTGTGCTCTCAGCTTTACGATCCTGACCCTCCGAGCTGCTGATAAATTCTCGAGATTACCTTGGGAAAAACGGAATATTTTTGCCTGTCTCTAAGCCGTGCAGCCAGTAAGAACAAGCTAACTGCTTGACGTCCCTGGTAGTGGGACTGTTTTGGACATGGAGAGGAAGGATATTCG